TGCTTCATCCAGCCATTTTTGAAGAATATCAGAGATCAAAAATTTGCAAATATCAGAATAACAGAATAGAAGAAAATGTTGAATCTGTAAAAAAAATCAAGCTTGAATGTCAAAGAAAGAAAAAGCTTCAGCAAAGAAAAATTGATCTTTAAATATCTCCAGAAAAAGTGAATGCTAAGCAAATAATAAAAAAAGAGAAACTTTCTGAAAAAGCAAGCAAAAACTTCACTTTGCAGGTAAATAAAAGAAACTTCTCAAATAAGCAAGCAAAAAACTTCACTTTTGCAAACAAAACACAACAAATTAAACATCTTGTAAAGATATAACAACAGCAAAGCTTCAGTCATCTGGTATAACAGTTGGAAATCACATTTGCTTTATTTCTTCTTGATTATTTTCATTTTCACTCTGATCCAAGAAGCTAATATCTAAGAAACTGCTAGAGAGAATGTTAGATCAACTTCTGGTGACATATCTTTAAGAGATGTTCTTCATCTCTATATCAGAATCTGCTGGGCTATCATTAAATAACTCCATTCCAGATTTCATAAGATACTTCTTTAATCTGTTTTCTGCAATAGATTCTTTAAGTTCAGTGCTGTCTAACTCTTCAAGATGATAAGCACCTAGTTCTTGATTGGTGAACTTAACTCTATAGAGTTCTAGCTATCAAAAGTATAGAGTATTATTTCTAGACATATTCTGTTCTTTTTTGATATTGTGAAGCAAGACAAGATCTCCAGGTAGAAGAGAGTTGGTTCAAATATTATAAATATTATCAAAGTATTTCTTATTTCTAGCACACATTTAGAGCTGATAATGAGCTGCTTCTAGAATATTCTCATCTCATCTTTCAATTTGCTGTGCTTGTATCAGAAGCAGGTCTTCAGTTGTTTGAATCTTTCACCAGAGAATTATTTGTCAAGTAGAAATCTCAAGTTTAATCAGAAGTACTGCCTTCTGGTCCATTAGTAATCTATAAGAGAAAACACCAGTACTAGTCTTAGTCATCATTCAATCTGCCATCAGAATCACAGAAAGATGTTTAATCCAATCCCTCTCAGTGCCATTGGTAGCTTTAGCTAGCTTATCAGCCAAAGACTTATGGCCAACTTCCACCATACCATTCACAGAAGAGTTATAGAGTGAAATAACAATATATTTAATATTGAATTTCTTCAGTAAGATTTCCACAATATTCTTATTTTCTGGTCCTCCATCTATAACAAATTTGGCAGGCATGCTCCATCAACAGATGATATTCTTATAAAGAAATTTGACCACAGCTTCAGCTGTTGTTCTTTTCAAGACTCTAGCTTCCACTCATTTAGTAAAGTCACATCTGGCAACAACCAAATAATTTTGTTCTTGACAGAAAGACATGTGCTTGATATTCATCTCAACTTTCTCCCAACAGATAGAAGCTCAGATAGAATAAAGCTCTTTACTCAATCTTTGTGAATCTCTTTATTAATATTGAGAACAGTGTTTCATATAAGTAGACACATCTTTATACATCTCTGATCATCAGTATCAAGCTTGTAGAGCAGAGTATGTTCTCTCTTACTCTTTATGGCTAAATTTGTTGTGTATTATGTGTAAAATTTGTTCATGCTAATCTTTATTGTCCACAATATATCTTAGAAATACATCAGATTCTGCTTATCTAAATAGTTGATCAGCCTCCACTACATATTTAATTGTCTTTCTTCAGAATTTCATATACTCTTTTCCTTCCATGCCCAATGATTTTGATAGAGTGGTTAGATATTGTGCAATTTTCTCTGATTCTTCTGAATATGTGAAGTCCAGTATTCTAAGGTCTTCACTATCAAGAGCTTGGCCAGCTAAAACTCTTATAGAATTTATAAAGGCAAACAGATCTTCATCTTCTTTGGATTCAAGCTGTTTCCCAATATCTAGTTCTTAGCAAGATAGTCTGTAAGCAGCTGTGTGTTTTGTCCCAGGAACATGTTTAACAGTAAAGTTGAAGAGGCATATTCAAGCTATCTAATTAGTAATCAAAGCTTCTGGAACATCTGTAGCAGTTCTATTAAGTTGGGTGACAAGAGCTTTTGCATCAATTTCCAAAGTAAAGAGCACTCCATATATATGGTGTTGGAATTTCTTGAAGACTTTCAAAATAGCTCTGCATTCTCATTTGCCAGTATCATATGTTTTCTCTAAATCACTCTATACTCCAGATTCATATTATGTGGGATGTCAAGCTTCTCATTGCTCCTGAATAATGTATCCTTCCCATTCTAATTCACTGGCATCAACAGCCACAGTGATAAGCAAAGAATCCTGTTCATAATTAATTGAAAGAACAGTAAAGAATGAACATAACTTTTCTTTCAAAAGTATAAAGATATCATTTTGCTCTTCAGTTCATGTCCATATAATATTTCATCAAAGCAGATAATGTAAAGATTTGGTTATCCAACTATAATACTCTATAAGTATTCAGAAATATCCAGCAAGCTCTAGAAATCCTTATAATTCTGTAACACTTATAGAAGTAGGCTAATTCACAATTTTAGCCACCTTGACTTCCTCAGATCATCATCTGTCATAGTCCCAGACCCATCCAACAACATTGACTCCAGACATGCAGAATTGAGATTTGGCACCAGAGATTCTGGCTTCAGAGATTTCAACAAGCCATAGAATATAATTCAGATTCTGCAGATAATCATAAACAAATCTTCTTATTTCTGAAAGAACTTTAGTTTCATTTTTGATATGTAATTCTTTTACCCCAAGATCATCCATAAAGACTCAAGCAATCTCTGGAAAAACCTTGTGTATTATCTTCATTATCCTGTGTTGGGCTTGAGCTGGCAAATTCATTGCCTCTTGGACTAAAGTTATATGGCAAAAGAGTCTAATAGAGATTGCAATGGCTGTCATATCTCTGCTTTCTTCAGCTAACAGAAAATTATCATATCTAGAGAATAAGTCACATAGACTAGCTATAATAAGTCCACTGAAGTCTTCAGTGTATTCATCAATATTAGAGAGAATAAAAGCATTCTGAATAGTAACTTTGTTATACATATGTGCTGCATCAACTAAACAATATTTGCCTTTCTGTTTCTTTGTGACCAGAAAATAGAAATTAGTATATGAATCATGGCAAGACTCCAACATTTTAGCTTCTAATCTATTCTGAATGATTTTAATTAGCTTATCATGTAGAGCATGAGAAATTCAGTAAGTCTTAGTCTGTCAAGTCTCATGGAGCTCTATTCAAATAATCTGGGAAGGCAAGCATTCAGAATGAATACTATATAGATCTTTAAATGACCAAGCCAACACCTCTTCATGTTTATAAAAAACTGATATAAAAAATTCTTTCTCCCAACTTGTCAGTTCAAATCCAATTTTGAGCTTCTCAATTCTCTTATTTGTTAGCCATTCTCCAACAGGAAAGAGCACAATTCTAGGCTTAATATAATCATCAAATTCACAATTAAACACAACACATTTTTTCTCAGGGTAATACTTATTCAAACAAACATCCACTTAATTATCTAGACCTTCTGGCTTGCTTCCATCAGATTTTCCAGGTGCTAATGGCCTTATCTTATCAGCTTTTCACTTATAAGCAGTGCACACTCTCCAGATCTCTGAAGAAGACAGCCCAATGTCCCATCCACTATTGAAAATGTCTGTCTGACACAATTTCTTCATGATAAAATCATGATTTTTGTTCAGAGATGCATAAATTAATCAAGCACTTCATGGAATAGGTTTTCAAATTAAGCTGGAATTAATATCACATGTGTAATGTTTGCAGTGAGCTATGACACTGTCTAGATTAGAAAGCAGAGATCAGAAAATCCAAACTCCCAATGCAAAATTATTCTTGTCTTCTGATTGGTCCATTTGATTCACCAGCATGCTGGTCAATCTAATTAAACTTAGTGTGCTTTTGGATTCACCAATACCAGAATTATATTTCTCCTCATTACTATAAGCACCAACACCAGCAATGCTGCCAATGCTTCCAACTTCCCTATTCTTTTCAATCTCCTGATCTTCAACCTTCTCATTATTAATTCTTATACCTATTATCTTTATTAAATTTTCTTCATTCTTCTCAGGTCTTGTATCTATGGGCACCTGCCTGATTAAATGCCTGTTGAATTATTTAAATGATCACTGTTCAATTTATCAGTTACATATCTCATATTGCTCAAGTTTGACTTAAAGCCTTTGAAAACTAGGCAACACATTCATTTCTCATTATAAATTTCACAGTTCACTCTGCTGTCTTCTGAGGTGTTGTATCTCCAACAGGCAGCAAATTGCTAAGATCTTCCAAGAATAAGTTGCTGATCCCCTCTCTTGAACATAAGAAAAGGAGTATGTGTAACAATATCTCTAATTTGAACAGGCACTTTGTCACAAAATGTGTAAAAAGAAGTGACTTCTCCCATTTAAACAATCATGGTCACTCACAGCTTATTTTTCATTGGCAGATTCAATATTTCAGCATACTTTCAAGACAACAAATTAATTTCTGAACCAGTATCAATCAACACCATTAATTCTTGTTAGTTTATAGTGACTGGCACATATAACAAATGCATTTCATATGCTGTTTTGGATTTTGATACTATGGACTTTGAAGTAAGTCAACTGGAATTGATCTTTAGCTCAGGCTGAACTAGTTCAGAGACTCCAACTCTTGCATAGCTTTTGCTAGTACTGTTATTCCAGCCTGATCTGAAGAACACTTGATGAAGTTTCAGTGATACATCTATAAGCTTCTTGACTGACAATTTGACTTTTCCATTGAGAATTTGACCCATTAATTCATTGGAATTTATTGAATTACAGATCTGAGAGAATAAGTAATCTGTTGCAGAATATCTTGATCTTTATTTTTTTACAGACTTGCTCTGAATTTCAGGTTTCTTCTGATTAATTGATTCAATGTCTTTCATGACATTGTTATTAACACTAGTCTGATTATTCTGCTAAGTAATAAATTATCTAGTATGCTGAGTATGGGGTGTTGCAATCTTAGCTTTTTGATTGTTCTTAGCTTCTTCAACTGTTCCAACATTAACTGATGTTCTTTCTTTTAATGGTTTATATTTCTTATCTGAATCAGATTCTTCATCAGATATTAGATATGCAAGCTGTCCTGCTTGAATCTTTACACTGGTTGAATTTGTAGGAGATGTCTCTTCTTGCTGATTGATCTTCTTTTTAGAGCTTGTTGACTCTGGAATCACCCATTCATTCTCTCTTATAGACTGTATAATATACATGTTCAGGATTCCAGGTTTAGAAGTAATAACTTGATAGTTTTGACCCTTAGAGTCCATGTGTAAGTTCTCTTTGTCATTAATATGGCAGTATTCATTACTTATATCAGATTGGTATTCATAACACTGAGATTGATGATGTTCAGGTTTTCCACAGTAGAAGTATGAGAGATGTGTTGAAATTCCTCCAGTTTGAGCTTCTTCTTGTTCATGAGCACTACTATAGTCTGTCATAGAAGAGCTATTTTGAGCCAAATAGAGATTGACTGGCAGTTGAGTATTCTCTTGTACAGTTGTAGAATTAACAGTCATATTTGTTGGATAATTTGGTATAGGTTTTGGAGATTCTTCTCTCTGCAGCATATAATACTGATTGAAATTCCCTTGTATCTGATTTGATTGTACTCTTATAACCAATGCCAAATTTGTGAACTTGTTGGTCATCTTTTCAATAGCAGCTTCAATATTGGTGCTGTCAGAGCTCTTGACTTTAGCTTTTGATTCAGATTCTTCAGTCTTCATAAAACTAGCTGTTTTCTTTGAAGCTTCAACTGTAGAGGACTTGTTAGTCAATTGATATTGCTCACCAAGCTTCTTCATTTTCTTTTGTTTTATTTCATCTTCTTTAAAGATCTTCTTATTCCCTTCATACTGGTTGATCAAATCCATAGTCACCTGAACAACCTTTCTAAAATCAATAGATGACATATTGTCTGAAAGATTGAGCTTGGTCTTGTTAATAATCTTATTCTGAAGCTTCTCAGGTAGCCTCTGAAGAAATCAAGACACCTTAGTGAATTCATCAAGCCTTCTATTTGCTTGAACTGTACTGGTGATAGTAGTGTATTCTTGAATATAGATGTGAATGTTGCCATCTCAAGCATGTGGTTTTTTTGTAATTGTCTGGAGATAATCCTGATAGTGAATCTTGTAAGTAATGTCTTGATTATGAAATTCATGAATAATCTCTTTGGAGAATACTTTCTAATTATCTTCTTTGTAGTCTTTTAAGATCTTCATCCATTCTTCAATTCATGTAACACAGTACCTAGCCAATCATTCAATAATGTTTTTAGGATTAATTACCCCATGATCCTTGCACATCTGATAAAACCTTTCAATAAACAGAATAGCATCTCTACTGTCAAACCAAGATACATTTGCCATGCCAGGGGAAGGCATAGAAATGTAGGAATGAACCACAATTCTCTTGTCCTCACTCTGTAACATAGTTGCATATGATTCTGTAGTACCTTCAGCCATAGTTGATTCTGATTCCAATTTCTTGATTTCTTGATCTTTGGTCATGTCACACAGTATGTTCTGTCTATTAGTTAATATCTTCTAAAAATCTGTTTATCAGGCAAGCTCTAGATAAGAGGCATTCAAATCTAAGCTCCTTAATCTTATTTCTAAATAAAAAAACTAATTAATACTGTGTTCCTAGTCTATAAGATCTTATCTTGAAATAGTGTATTGCTTCATGTGTCTCAGAATTTGTTTTTCTCTTCCTTGACAGTTACCAAATCACTGTATCATCATCTTCAGGTCTCAGCTTGGCTATCAAATAGAGTGGGGTACAATGGAATGCCTTGTCAAAGTAGGTGAGTTGGTTGATATGGTGAGAGTACAAGAAAGATGAAAAATCATCACATAGTAAGAGTATAGTTGAGTAGTAAGTGTAGAGATAGATATGTTCTAACAGATGCCTAAGCTTGCAAGAAGTAATAGTACTAAAGAGCTCTGTACTAACACAGGCAGCTCTAATGAGAAACAGTAGCATGTTTCATAAACAAGAAATCTTCATATTCTCTAACTAATAACTGAACTGGTAGCAAGAAATGAGTGTGTAGAAAAGAGCAATGGTGCATGAAGGTAATAAGCAAGATGCAGGGGCTACAGATAGTTTATATAGCTCAAGAATAGTAGCTTTGCAGTGGTTTGTGCCTCAGACCAGAACAACCTTTGTCCTAATAAGGTATCAGAATCCCTACTACACTATCTGCTTCTTCAGAAGATAGATCTATCTGTATTATGTGGCATTATCTGTTATAAGTAGAAAATACTTCACTCTGCTGTAGCTTGGAGAATTGAAGTATGTGGATAGAATACAGCTACCACCTGCAATATTAATAAAAATTTTAGCTCCAAGCTTTGTAGAGCATGTTCTAGATTTGAATGGGTTGTGAGCTTGCTTAGCTTTAGCACAGATTTCACAGAACTCTAGCTTCTTTACTCTTTTTATTCACATTGCCATTCTTGGATCTCTAGCTAGAATAGCTATATTGTAGGTGTTGAGATGCCTCCAGTGTTTGTGCCAATTGGCCATTGTATTCTTCTTGATTTCTGACTTCTTTGCCAGATGATTCAGTGCCAAAAGTACATCATCTTTATTCTCTAGAGTTGCTGTTACATAGCAGGACTCTAGAAGTTTTATAGATACTGGAAATATGTATGCCAGTAAATTATGTATTCTAGATGTTTGTAGAACTAAAATGTCATTGTTGTTAAGTATGGCTTTGAAGCTCTGTATTTTATCTGCTAATTCTAGTAGAAAGACATGTTCTCTGTCAATATAAAGCTGTTCCACTGTAAAGCTGTCTTGTATAAGCTTCTCAAAGCTTATAAGGTTAACCTGAAGATTAGGCATAATTCTAATTCCCCCAATGCTCAATTCTCTGTTGTCAGTTTGGATACTGGCTATGCCAAGTTCTCTGGTGACTGATTTTGAACTGTTTGCCATAAGCAGTTGTGTTGCATAGCTTTTTGGGTCCATTTGAACTAGATCTGTATGTGAGATCACATAGGATCCAGCTTTAGAGTTAAGAATTCATCTATCTGTGGATTCACATGCTTCTCTTGTAGAAAAAACTGCTTTATAAACTAAATGAATCTTGTCTGTTGCAACTGTAGTTATTTTCTTATCTTTGTCTTTAGAGTCTTTCTTAGACTTGTTAGGTTTCAAATTCTTGTTAAATTTGCAAAATTTAGCTAAATGGCCAGGTTTACCACAAATATAGTAGTTTCAGTTCTGCAGTGAGCTCTTCTCTGAATTAGATTTGGAGTTTGTATTTTTGTAAGACTTTTAAAGATTCAAGCTTGTTGCATTTGTATTTAACTTTGTAGATCCATCTTTCTTCTGATTTTTCTTGAGAATTTAATGAAGAATATTCTTCAGTAGATCTTTCAGATTCTTCTCTGGTAGATTTGTTCTGCTCTAGCATGCCATATCAAATTAATTCTGTATGAACTCTCTCCATTAAAATGTAATATTCATCTTCAAGATATCATGTAGAGTATGGTCCAGTTGTTTGAACCCTAATCTCTTAAATTCTCTATAAATTGCTAGAAATCTCTTTATATAATTTCTTTCTGAGCCAGTGGATTGTGATATTATTCTTACTAACTCTGTAAGTAGGCTTTTCTGCTGTATCTCAGATCTCTCTTGAAAGACTATTCTTACAGCTTTCCAGAGTTTATAGACACTAAGACTATCTGATTTCTTAAAGTATTCTCTAGCTTGTGCAGATATTATGCTGTTAATTAGACTGTATAGCTAATTATTCTAAACATTCCAGTATTATAAAATCTTCAAGCACTCTGGCTATAGTGAAGTCTCTTGTTTTTTCAGAATAATCTTCTCAACATCTACTTGATGAGCTATCTTTAGAATGGCTTTGCTTTATGCTAGATAGTTACTGACTTCAGTCAGGGTTATAGACTTCTTTACTATCTTTATAATCTTTATGAATTGGGTGATTGCTCTGCTGATTTGTATATTTATATTTATAAGATTGCTGACATATTCTTCTAGTTTCTTATCAGAGTTTATTTCTTGATTCTCTTCTTCTTCTTGTTAAGCTTCATGCTCTAGATTCTTCTGCATTGTTGCAGATGCATTTGCAGTGCTTGCTTAATCTGATAGAAGATTTACTTGCTGTGCCAGCTGTTGTACTATCTTTTGTTATCTTTATATTAACTTCTGTTACTTTTGTATTATCTTCTGTTGATTCAGCATTATTCTGTGCAATATTTGAAGTTCACTCTTCTCTCTAGACTTCTGCTTGTTGTTTGGCAGGCTGCCTCTGAGTTTACTTAATTATCTAAGCTCAGTTTAAAATGAAGAGAGATTTGTTGAAGTCTTCTGATTAGAAGTTCAATGCTTCAGTTCATCTGTATAGTTTATTATAGCTTTGGTATTGCCAGATGCTTGATTTGCTTGCTAGATATGTTTAGCAGATATTTTGCTCACTCTCTGATTATATGTCAGAAAGCTACAGAATTTAACTTACTCTTCAGCTCAGTGCTAGAAAGCTACAGAAATTGCATGTATAGAAGATGTCTATCTCAATATATACTCTCTCTTGTGCTTGTAAAATCTTGTTATCCACAAGAATAACTATTCAGAATGTTGATCATAAGCTTCAATATCTAATTGAGCTGTAAATCAACCTTATATGCTTGCTCTTCAGTACAAAGAGCTATAACCTGATGGAGGACTTGTATGCTTGTTATTCACTAAGCTACCTAAAGGGGAATCTTGGCTAATCTATGTGGGTCACGTGAGCGAGGTGCTAGTTGGATTACCTAACATTTCCGGTTGGCATGGATAAATGTTATCCCGATACCTGGAATTACATCGGGCCGACAGACCTGCCGGGATTGCCATTTCAAGCAAAACATGGATGAACCTCAAACGCCTGCGACATGCCAACTTGGCCACACGGTGCTTTGTTAAACCAGTTGGTCGATGCCGCTGCGCATGAAGAGCCGGTTACGTAGCTGCAAGATAGCGACATTCTCAATTTTGGCCAAGCCTGGGAATCCCTGATGAGACAGGAGAATTACTATAATTTTTGTATTTCTTCCCGGATTCTTCAAACCCAACCCCCCCCTTCTCTCATCTCTCTTTTCTGTACATTCCCTGAGAATCTAATATGACATCGCTTATAACCTCGCAAGGATTCCTGCGGTGTTTGCGTGCCTGGAAACTGGTCATGCCTTTCCCCATGGCACGTCCTTTCATGGGCGAAAATGCCAACCTCATGCATGGACTTCTTTTTCATCCTTCGGAGTCGGTCTTCACTGTTCCCTTGGGCGGTGCCGCCGGAGCCCTCTTGGAAGACACCGGCTTGTTTGTTACGCGCCGGCATCGACTGCGTAACCATTCTGTTTCATCCAATTGTCGTCCGCGAATTTGGTCAGATAGTTCCTGAGGCCGTCTGCAAGGATCAGCACAATGAGTTTCTCCTCCTTGTTGAATTCCGGATGCTGCTCCATGAATTGAACCAAGGCCGCAACGGTGGCACCGGCCGATCCACCGCATAGCAACCCTTCCTCCCGCACCAGCCTCCGGGCGAGTTTGAAGGAGTCCTTGTCGGTGGTTTTGACCCATAGGTCCGGCGACGTCTGGTCTAAAACATCAGGCAGAAAGTCATACCCGATACCTTCGACTTTGTATTCTCCCTTGGTCTCATTCAGCCTCTCGGGGATCGCAAGGATTGATCCTACTGGATCAACCCCAACAAGAAAGACGTCCGGATTATGCTTTTTCATCCCTTTGGCGATGCCGGTGATGGTTCCCCCAGTCCCAGCTCCACTGATCACCGCATCGACTTTGCCCTGTGTTTGATGCCAGATTTCCTCCGCCGTTCCAAATTCATGGGCAGCAGGATTCGCGGGGTTTGTGTATTGGTCTAGGATAAAAGAACGAGGGATCTCATTTCGGAGGCGCTTTGCTACGCTGATGATGGAGTCCGGTGAATCAATGGGCACGCCGGCGGGTGTGCGGACGACCCTGGCACCCAGCGCGTGGAGTATCTGCTCCTTTTCTAGAGACATCTTCTCAGACAGAGTGATGATGCACTTGTAGCCCTTGATGGCTGCCATGAGCGCGATAGCTATACCTCTGGGATGTATTTTAGCACACGTGAGCAAGCCTGACAATTTTTTTTTTTTTTTTTTGCCCACCTCTTTTGGCATTTCCTTCTGCCTTCTTATTTTCTTTTTAATCCCAAGGAGGACTTACGTGTTGCCACTTGAGGCTTCAATCAGGGTATCTCCCGGCTTGATCACGCCATCCCGCTCTGCCTGTTCGATCATGTGTTTGGCGATGCGGTCCTTGACGGAGCCGCCGGCATTGAAATATTCCAGCTTGGCATATACCTGCGCTTTGATTCCAAGAGCGGCGGGGACGCGGTTCAGACGCACCAGAGGTGTTCCTCCGATGTAGTCCGCGACTGAGTCGCTCATAAGCTGGCCGAGGAATGGGGCTGCCATGATAGTGTTATGGGCTACCTAAATGATATAAATAATATCTGGTGTTGGCATGTGGGCAGGATCATCGAGAGAGTGGCCTGGCTTCCTCCGGCGATGTGTTCAGTCGAACGGCGGTCCCCTCCCTCCCCTCAGCACCCCCCGCTTTGACTTTTCTCCTGTGTCATCCAGTCACCTCACAAAGCCGCGACAGGCGCTCGGTGCATGGATCCGGGCGGTGATGCTTGCGCAGTGAGCGGGGAAGGCCCCCACATCCATCGAACTGGAGCAAACTGCCAGCCCAAGAACTCTCAGGTGGAAATAAAGCACGGTATAACTATTTAACTCGTTCATGGTCTACTTCAATATAGGCTGTGAACTATGCAGTTAAGCATGTAGCCAAGGTTAACAGACAGCGATGTGTAATCCTTCTAGTAATTACGGAAACCCCTCCATTTTTTGAGAATGGCGATGTGATGCCATGAGCGGGGGGCCGACAGCCAGGGATCGAACGACCACCCAGCCAATCACCCACCCAGCTTGAGCTTGCAATCTCATGGTTTATCCCGGCCAGCATCACGATGACCCTATCAGACGCTCCACTTAACGGAAGCCGGCTCATCAACCACTTTGCAGGACGGTGGATTCGACAGCAACTGAGCTCGCCACGAGGTTTTTCCGCAGGGTCATGAACTTTTCTCACTAGCCACTGGATAGCCATGGCAACAGGCGATCGGCCTTTGTGGGATTCAAATATTAATGACCCTTGGGATTGGGGCAAACCATCGCCCGCTTTGATTAACATATTCGAAGAGCGCCATGATCTCTTCTGTCCTCTGACACCTGATGGCCGCAGTAAGAAGGCGCTGGTTCCGGTATATTATTCATTCCCCCCTCCCCTGAGCTTTTTGAATGTCTGTCGCAAACTAATTGTTGGGGCAAAACGAAAAAGCGGCTGCGGGCGGCGGCTACGATGTCATCCTGTTAGCATTGCACGGTTTTGATGCTTACAGACTGCATATACCTGTAACTGGCGTGGCGGTAGCTCAACGTTATGCGTCCATGGAATCCCGGAAGCCTCATGAATACAATTTCGGGAGCTAGACGCCCAGTGCTTCGATAACTCCAGATATCATCATTTTCAGTCAGGGTGATTTTTCAAAGTAAGCTGTGAGAGAGAACTACGCAGCGGGGGCTCTTGATGGCCAATTCACGGGCATTCTCCGTAAGCAACCAGCTCGCACTTACAAGAAGGGCGAAGGCACACGCGTGCCGAGCGTCTATATGCCTAAGTGATTGATTCTGCTCATGAACGTGACAGTAACGGGCAATTGATTTTTCCTCTTAAGTTTTTACCACTTTCCATCAGTATAATGTGGCTAATAAGTCAATGTTTAGCCCTAAAGGCTGAACCTGAAGCTCGCCTTTAAGATATTTTTGCTTTAGAGTCTTTTAAGAGTGAACAACGAGGACACCGCTATGTCGCGAGGCCACCATTCAACTGTTATGACTGGAAACTGCTAGAGAGGAAGTGAATGTCTGGCGAAGTATTCTATGAATGTCAGATTGGGGAAACCGGTAGTCGAATAAAGGAAAAACTTGTCGATGATAGTCCGCGAAGAAAGGAATTGGAAAAGGGGTTCGTTCCCCTGTGAATGAAAGAAAATGGCCAAGGAAATGAGTGATCAAGGTATCACTTCGATCATTTTTCCACCGCTGTTCAGATCTATTTCGCGAGGATGCTCCGCCCACCATCTGTAGTGGTCCGCATGCGAACCTTCATCCTAAAATAGCGTGGACCCAATTTCCACGCAGTGAAAGCATTATCATTGCTCACCAGTACTTCATCGTTGTGTTCGTCATGTTCTAATCCTGTACTCGGAGTTTCTCTTACAGTTTCCCTCAGGCTCCAGAATATCCAGCACCCCATTGGCGCTGAACACTAGAGCTTCTCCCGTGTCCAGCAACACTATCTTAGTAAATAAACTGTTCGGGCTGAATTTTGACCGTTCATCTGAGGAAATGCCGACAACCGCTCCGGCTAGATGGTCTTGGAGGGCTTTAAACCATTCAGGTGACGTGAATCGGTGACCAATTGTGACATCACAGAGGTCCAGCAGCTTTGGGGAGAGATTAGGTTCTTGTGTCGCAATGATTAGCCGGGTCCCTAAGTGCCGTTGCTGACGGATTATGGTAAGAAGACTTTCCGTCAATTCGTTGGCTTCTCGATTGGTGTTGACAAGAAACTAATCCCATTAACTCGTTAGTTGGTGAAAATACTGACTGGAAGTTATGGCTGCTTGTGGCTATTTCCCGTACCTTGTGGGCCTCATCCAGTGCTATCATCCGGTTCCCTAGCCCACGACCTTTCAGAAAGACGCTGAGGCATATATTGAACAAGGCACAAGCATCGTTGGCACTTACGAATGGACAACTAAGGTCCACAATGGTCAGGGAACCCTCGTTGAATTTCCACTTTTCATCGAGCTGGCGAGCGGTGCCGGATCGCGCTGCCTTTGCGCTTCGGCGGAAACCCCCTGCTTGCTCGATCTCGAGGAAGGACTCAAGTAGGCTCATCCTTAGATTTAGCGAGGATTTCTGATTGGGAGCGAGGGCTTGCTCAGCCAATTTCGACTTGAACTTGTTGAAATCGATGCTACTATTCCCATCTTCTTGTGCCATTTCGCGGAGGATTTTGGTCACAATCTACTTTTTGTTAGTCGAAGTCTTATCAATGAGTTTTCTTGCATTGGACTTACCTCCATGTACAATGGCTCTTGGCTCTCGCTGTCCACGGCCATGAGAGTCTTCATCATCGAGATACTTAGGTGTTTTTCCACAAATTTCAATTTCGACACAACTGGCTTTGGCGCGCCTTCCGGTAGCCCTTCCAGATTCTCGTACAGCTTCTTCATGGCTTGATAATGGCTTGGAGATACAAGAACGCGGACTGGAATTCCGGACGAACAAAGATATGCTGCTTCACACGGCTGACCAGTTTCAATGCTGGAGAACCGGTCATAATGGAGCACAAGGCCCGTTAGTGGTCTCGCTAATTTTCCCGTTCGCGATGGAGCTAGAAGAACGTTTTCCAGCATGCATGACAAGGTATGGCTTTTCCCACTACCTTGGCTCCCACAGATAAAAGTCGACCACGGGGCATTGCTATTGGTATAGATCAAATTATCTACCGGTTCCCCGACTGGAATATCTTCGCTTCCGTACCCATACGTTTGGAGACGCTGGCCCAGTAAGCCGTACTGCGGAAAGACTTCTTCTCCCTCAGATTGATTTTCGTTATTCTCACTTTTATTGTTTACCTCGAACGTAGCGCGCACTTTTGAGGAATGCAGCGGGGAGATTTTCAGTTGCTCTATCATCCGACTTCTCGCTGGTTTCTCCCCATCAGTGGGGCTTCTGTCGACAAGTGCTAGATGGGTGGCTAGTTCCTTTGTCATTTCGGAGCTAGTTGCAATTTGTTCCTTTGGCTGTGTTTGGGATTTGCTGTCCATTGTTCAACCTCCTCCCGATGTGTAGGGTGAATGTATGGATGGATGTGCTAATGGGTAGATCGAACGTTTCACTAGAGCTGTAACTAGCGTTTTGGTTGATTGGACCAAGAGTGTTCTGGTAATAAGAATAAGAGAAGACGATTAGGACTAGGACCAGGTTGCAATTGCAATTGAATCTGCGATGTGCTTGGATTAGGGGCAACCTGGGCTTTTATTCAGGCCGTCCCCCCAGGCAATAGCTTCCAGATCGTTCCGCGGTGTGTCAATATATGGGAGAGTGGGGATAGTATGAAAGAGGAATTTCTGATATTTTCTAGATCGTATTGTTGCTTTTTGTTGGTAATCACTCAAAGTTAAGATCCAACAGGTATCTTGGGAAGTTCCATTGGAAATAAAGCCATTGGAAGGCTCCAAAGTGAAGAAAGGGAGTTGTCCTGATCAAAGGTGATTGGGAGGGAGAAAAGGGGTGGTCTTTATGGATTCCGCTGTCCTATTCCCATTTGGGAACTGGCACCAAGTGGTTTTTCAGCTGATGTTTGATATCCAAGAAAGTTGCGATTCGGTAATAAATTAAGGGTCCATCTTATAAAATCTGTACATGCCATGTAATGTACATTTTTGAATCTCACCATATAGCAACGGAAAAGGGAAAGGAAATGGCTATAAATATACACGTCAAAAGTCGCAACTAGCCACGAGAACGTGTGGACCAAAAAACAAAAAAGAAAAAAAAAAAGGAGAAGGGCAGCAAAGCGAAGAGTGCCAGAATATGCTGGATATCGAATCCATGGATAGAGTGAAGGAAATACGAAAACTCAAGACCAAAATTCGGCCCTGATGGCAATTTTTGCTCCACAATACAAAGGATCATGCCATGCCAAGTAATAGAGAGAGGAAAAGGGATGGAAGGAAAAGAAAAGAAAGCGAAGCCGTGCCATGCCTTAAAAGAGTGGAAAAAGAAAGAGAGACTAAGGGGATGTCTTAGTCCTACGAATGGGGATTACATCGAACGATATGCGGGTAAAGTCATCGATAATGAATGTACCGACTATGCATGCCCAGATGCGTAGGTTGGAAGAGAATATAGATACGGTCAATATCACAATGGTTGTAATCGGAGAAGGGTGACGTTGCTGAACGCTGCCGAAGATAAATGGTGTGGATTAAAAAGGAAACCTTGCTTCACTCCTATATCCTGTGGGGGTTCCCGGAATCGTTGGCATTGATGGAGCCGGCATTCTACCGCCGGTTGCCGTATTAGCACGGGCTCTGCCTGTCGGTAGCGCAAAATCTGGATTGCTACTAAGCAGAACGTCCTGACGTTGGTGGATCTTTGGTTTAGGGTTCTCGGAATCCGCTGGTCGCCATTTGGGGTTTATTCCCCTTTGCGAAATGGATGTGAAGTGACTGGTTTCGCTAACTGCGGATGAGCGTGCGCCAGCAGGCAAGCCATCGGATGAATTTCGCAGAAGGGGCTCACCAGAAGAGCCTGGTACCAGCGAGGAAGGGACGTCGGCCGACTCCACTCCGTTCATTGGTAATGCGAATCGGGGCTCCACGTCTTCATAATAGCTGCTAGGTGGATGTGGGTTGATGTTAGGCGGAGAGCGAGTCATATCGCGGGGTTGAGTGCTGGGACCTAGCGGGCTGAGCGGCGGGCGTTGATTACTTGGTAGTTCTAGAGAAGGGTATTCTTGCGGAGTCCAGTTAGTTCGCGGCGGGACATAGGGACTAGGTGCGAGGCTGTGGGTTAGCTGTAACATCAAAAAGGGATTAAAAACGGAATGAAGCCAAATTTAACGGAGATCCCTTACGCATCAGCGCTATAAATGCTGGTTGGGCTTCTGAGGTTATCGGTTGCTGGGTCACGATGTCCACCAGGAATATTGTTAGGTGGTGTTTGCATCTCAATGCCTTGGTCGAAATCACTTCGATCACCGTATCTACGTCCAGGACCATATCCCAAGTAATCGTTCGCAGGGTAGCCTCTCGACTGGGGAGGATACCCGGGAGGGGGTCTACCACGACCTCTCCTTGACGGACCAGGGCGCGGGGGACCCCTGCCCCTTCCACCGGGAGGAAAGGCCCGAGGCCCACCGGGAGGACGGCCCCTCCCTCTGGGAAGGGGGTATGGCGGGGCGCGACCCCTCTGGCGATAGGATGATCCATCGCTTCTGATGGATCGCATGCTTGTATTTGAGAACTGATTCCGCAAATTAGGATTAGACTGAGCGGGGTAAGATGAGCCATAGGGATCTTGAAGGGAGACGCCGGCATTATCTTCGGGAGAAACACGAGGTGGTTGTGGATATCCTGCAGGCTCTGGAGGGGAGAGTCGACCAGGCGACCCGTTTCGACGATATCCGTCGTCGTTTGACGGGTTGAAACTATTTCCAGTCGTCGCAGTGGCGGTGGTTTGAGGTTGGCTAGGCGCGGGACTTGAACTCGGGGGGACGTCGACTTTGACGACGATCTGGCGGTTATAGTAATTCTCGCCGCTCATTTCCGCATTCTCAGCTATCCTCCGTTTCCGGGCTTTTCTGCTAACCAAGGTGCGTCGCATTGCACACGTGACGACACCACTGGAGGTGAGCAGGATGGTTGCGCCGAGGACAATCCAGCCACCCCATTGCAGATAGGGGACGAAGAGAAGGATATCGACCAGGAACGCTAGTAGAGAGACGAGAAGCGTCGGTAGCAGGAGGATTAGGAGACCCAGTAGGTAACGTGGCGAGTGAGACGGTGAGTGTAGATGGGCAGCAGCGGCCAGCGCAAAGCAGATGAAAGCCAGGAAGGCAGCGATAGGGTGGACTATCAACAAGGCCGAGAGTGTATGGCGAATGGTGGCAGGGAGGTTGAAATCTCCGTCCCTGTTTGAATCACCGAAGATGCCGTCTGCGATTGGATTGGGAGAGTCAGCATGGGATAGATGGAGATGAGTGGCGGGTTGCCATCCGGGGACAGGAGCAAGTTTTTATCTATAGGCGATAGCATAACATACCAGCAGGATAGCCGACACGAATTCCACTGCAGTCGCTGCCTTGGCAGTACCCGAAGACGCCGAAGCGGACATTTTCAAAGGTGGCGATGGGGATTGATTTGATGACGGGGGTTGATAGGACAGACAGGAGGAGGAGAAGGAAAGCGACCAGCAGCAGAACGGAAAGAGGGGTCGCTGGTTTCAGCAACATGGCCGGCGTGGGAAGAAAAGGGGGGAGATGGCACCAACGACGGTGCCGGTCATAGGGCGCGGAGAGGAGACAGAGATGGACGATTCCTCGCAGAGGACAAAAAGGGAGCGGAAGGGGGGAGGTGGTTGGGAGCCAGATGGACGGGAATCATTGAGTCGCACGAGACATGTTTTCCAAGCAATGTAGCGAAAACATGCGCGTTTCAGCGAAAGGGAAAGGCCCGGAGATGATGATGGAAAAGTAATACTAGACGGGCCGGGATTGAGTGAGAAGGGGAAAAAAAAAAAAAAAAATGAAAGAGAAAATAAAGAATAAAGAATAAAAAGGGAGGATGAGAGAAGGATTTGATGGGTGATGGGGTCAAGGACTGGAGGGATCAACTAGGTTGATTCAGATGGGTGTTTGGGATTGCGGAGGGATGGTGTCTCTTGGACTCAGGCGAGTAACCATGGGGAGATTGCCAGATGCGCACGCGGCCAAGCAGCTGCAGTTCGTTCAATCATCAGTCATAGTAGAGAATGAGAGAGAGTAGAAGAAGGAGAAGAAGAAGAGTGAGAAATGCGGTGCAACAGATGAAGATGGACGATGGATTGGTGGATGACATGAAGTGAAGTTGGAGAGTCGAGGGGCCGGAAAAACGAAAAAGGAAGACGTGACGACTGGCCGCTTGCTTATCAGGGATAGGGTGCCTGGGTCTTGGCATGGAAGTACGGCGGAAGCTCTAAACCTAATATGGTAATGGATAGACCAGGGACCCGACCAATCAGCAGCGGGTGGGTGTGCTTTGTGGATCTCTGATTGGTCTATCCACTGGCCGGGAACCCTGGTAGGGCCGGGGCGAGCCCGACTAGGACGGGCTGGGGAAAGCAACCTTGTGTGCACGACATATGTACATATGATCAGAGCAGTTCTCCGTAATATACGCACAATACCGGCTTCCGTACGGAAGATGTCTGTTGGGGTTGCAGGGACCGGCCCCCAAGGGTTTGTCCTTTGGCAGCGGGCAAGAGGGAGGAGCAAGGGGTTGCACGCTTGGCTGACCCCGATTCTGAGTCAAAGGCAAACACATTGGCCCGTGCTCCCCTTACTCTGCCGACACAGATGCAGTTGTGGCCCTGTTTCATCCGGAGATATGACTCTGTACGTTATAGTACGTATGTCCGCCGTTTATGTACGGAGTATGATGTATGTATGTATGGGATAGACCCCAACTCGGTCTTTGCGCCATGTCTGTATACTGATGGACTCTATGCGTGCATGGGCTATTACAAAAAGTGAGGATATCAAATGCAACACAGCCATCTATGGAGCAATTGCCCACGCCTGAGAATCCACAATGCTGCTGAAAAAAGGTGGAAAAAAAAAAAAAAAAAGAAATGAAGAGGCAAACAGAAAGAGAAAGGAAAGGACTGCCCTGGGGTGATGTGTGATCCCTGCTTATTGGAAGATGCAGCACGCAGAAATAATAATATTATACAGTGAAAAGTGGTATTGACGGGAAAAAGGAAAAAGGAAAGGCAACAGAAATAAAGGCAAAAGAAAGAGGGAACAGGCGTCATCCGGATATTAAAACCCATAAGAGGAAGAAGATCTGATGAGAAAAAGAAGTCGTTCAATGTTAGCAGGGTAACAGACCGGCATCGCATCAAGTATGTAACTTCGCACTCACCATTAAAACCCCGAACATTTTTGCTATAAGCCATCGGTTCCCCGACACCCTCGACCAGTATTTCAGCAGTTCTCGATGCGCCCCTTGCACGTTATCCACGACATCTTCCGTGTTGGCGTCGATCCGCTGGATCATCTCGGACTGCTCGCTCACCATCGTTGCTAGTTGCCCAAAGATGCCCCCGAGCTCGTTGATCGTCCGTTCTATAGCTTCGATCGCTTCCCCTCGAGCTTGAATGTACGTGTTGGACGGCTGCTGCGCTTCTTGCATCATCATCAGCTGCGAAGGTTCCAGCGTAAGTAGATCAGATGAGGGTGGCTGTGGGCTGCGGCTCCTCGGTGGGTTGTATAAAGGAGAATCGGATCGTTGGGGATTCAGTGCATGCTGGGATTTGGAGGAGACAGAGGAGATGAAGTTTTCTGTTCTCGACCGGGAGGCCTGAATGTTCTTGGTGCGCACTTCGAGAACCTCCTTGAAGTTGGCACCGACATCGGCCAATTTTCCTTGAAGCATAACCACAACCTAGACAGCCGAGTCAGTAAGACAAACAAAAAGATAAGCAAGAGCTGGAGAAAGAGGTACATTGTCGTTATGCTGCCCTTCCTGGTCTGCAAGACTTCGGGAAGCTTTGGGGTGTTGGGAGAGCGTGAGAGCCTGGAGAGCAGCAATCTGAGAGTTCAAGGATGCGAGATCCTGTTTGATGACATAGGTCAACTCGGAGATCTCGACAGGTCGGTCATCGAAGAGAGACTTTCTCTTTGCCACTATTTCCATATAATATATCAGTTCGTGTGACTGTCGGTTGCGTAGAAGGGGGGGAAAAAATAAAGAAAAAGGAGAAGGAAGCAAAAGAAAAAGGTCTGGGTTATAACTCACGCTGCGCGAGTCGCTGTAGCTTCGCAGTTGTTGCGGTGATGGCTCTTCCGATCTCTGCCGCACGCCTGGCAAACTCTGACTTTTTGGGCGTTGCATTCTGTGAATGGCTCTCCTGGCGAAGGAGGGCCTGGCGACGGGCGTCGGCTTTCGATGCGGCCAGTCGTTTCTGGGCCTGGCCGAGGATAGATCGAAACTCGGACGTTCGATCTTGGATTGGGATGACTCCCATGGCTGGGGGATAACGGGGGTTTTTGATTTGATGAGGATTATCGACGAGAACTGCGGAACATCGGGTAGCAGCATCTAATTTTCATGTCATATCATACTACAGCGAACTGGCCCTGCAGACACTTGCAATCCCAAATTAATTTATTGCACGGAGTCGTTCATGTATTTATCGCGAGAGAAGACGCAACGTTGCCGTCATGCCAGCTTCGCCGCCACCCAAGTACCATTAAGGCTTATGTAACACATAGCTCGACGTGGGGCCTTGGCGCGACTGAGTCAGCATACACGCGGATATCTATTTCCCCGGCCCGGGCGGTTTGGAAAAATGAATGTGCGTAGCACTTTGTGTATATAGTGAAAGTGTTAAGATACCAGTCTCTGTGTAATTAGCCTCCAACTTATTGGCTCAGATCTTCCTTGATCTTGATACAGAAGAGTTTTCCTCTCAACTGACCCGTAAAAGTTCAGCAGAGAGTGAACAAGTTAGTTGGTGCGGCTTCTCTTCTATGTACATGTTTATGTAGTAGCAGGCAAGATAGCTACGGAGTACTCCGTAGCCCCTCATGCAAAAGGAGCAATAGCGCACCTTACCTGATTCGGCCAGCGCTAAGCCCTGTGGGGCAACCCCCACATGACGCAGTATTACTGTATACATACTCCGTATATGCTAGGTAACCGCTATGTACGGAGTATGGAGTATGGATTTTCATGCTTCGCGTTTGGATTATTTGGTACACACGCTCTTCCCCAGTGTGTTGCTGAATTGAATCGGACTTGTAAAGCCAATCCTCATACATCCGTACTCGACGGCTAGTTATGACTCACTTTCCACAACTTCATACAAGTACATAGCATGTCAAGGCAATATGGCTCGACGCCTTGAAGAGCCGTCATTCGAAGCCTCTCACACACGCAATGTTCACCTATATGACAATGAAGGTCAAATTCTTGGAGGTTTGCTTGCTGGGGTCATTTCTGCCTCCATTAATCACTCTGACAGCTATGTCTAGGTGTTTTCCAAAATGAGTCCTTGACACACCGCCGTTTTTACAACTTCTGCTCGCGCTTCCTCGTTTTCCCCCCCGAAAATGCGCAATGGCGTATATTTGCACTCAATCATGATGGTTCTGCTGGAAACCAGATTGCTGCGGATGCAACCAATCTTGCTCCCGGGCGCTACATAATTCTCAGGCCCGATGGTACTCCAGTTCCTGTCTCTCTCAGCGCCGAGCCATACCCTCGTCGAGTTCTATCACGAACGGCAGATAGCAAATTGACTCCGAGGGTGAGAACCGCGTTAGACTTAATGAAATCCCAAGGTGACTTGCTAATTCAGCTGAGACAGCGAGCGTATTTTCGACAAGTTGTAAGATTCCGTGACCGTGACTGCATGATAAGTGGCATGCGGAATCCTTTGGCTGATCTCGGGAGATACACTGGCCTTGAAGTCGCGCACATCTTTCCCCAAGCTAGAGTAATTGAATGGAGACAAAGGGGCTTCCAGCAACTTGTCACGGACAATTCGGCAGCTTATCTCATTGGGACTTCAAAGATCCATTCGCCACAGAACGGTATCCTGCTTTCAAGTGTTGTCCACGCACTTTTTGATAACTTTTCACTTGCTATCAACCCAGACGTAAGTGCCTGGCTGCACAGTTTTTCATCACTTGCTAATTCTTGCAAGGATGGCTACCTAATTACGTCATTTATGCCCGACACTCTTGGAATTGATGGTCGTATCCTCGACCCTCGATGCCGAAACGATGCGGATATCAATAGAGTCAACGACCACCTTCTTCGTTGGCATTTTCACACAGCTGTTGTGGCAAACATGAGAGGAGTGGCCACGGAACCATCCTGGGAAATGGATTTTCCTGACGGTGATATGATGGGAGAGATTCTGGGAACACCCGATGCAGCTCTGCGAATGGAGACTGAATTATTTCATCGTCTTGGCCCTGGCGAAAATGCGTTTGACGAGGGGATACAAGCTGAATCCTCACAAAATATATGTATTATAACTTAGTAGTAGCCCTTAGGGCTCTGTTTTACTCCTGTTCCAGCTTGAATATTTTTAGAAGGCTTTCCTATTTGTACTAGAAACATGTCAATAGTCAGAGGGATAATCATATTATACACATGCACAACACTTGAATGTACTGTCTGTTGATATTCTTGTTGTTCAGAAAATGGATTCTACAATTTTTCCAGAAAATTATCGGCTCTACTAGGATTAGGCCTACTGATGGGCTGTAGATGTCATCAACCAAACAGTCAGTACCCTCCTAGCCCTAGTCACTCGTACCTAGACCTGGATGGCCTCAGTCTCAGTTTGGGGGTTTCCAAGTGCGTGGCGGACTGTCGAGGGTTGAACTAGGACCCTTCCTGAGTTCAAGGCGTGCAAGTTGTGAATGGCGCACTGGGCACGCACAGTGATGCACAGCTGTGCCAGGCAGACTTCAGGCATCTGGCGATTATCACCAGAACACATACCAGGGCTAATACCAGCCTTGATATGAAGCTCTCAATATCCTTAATGGCCCCTCGATTCTCCATATGTACTATATATGAGAGGGAGGACATAGTCAGTACAGAATGGAACACCCCCTGAGGTTTACATGTAGAGGGTAGTTATATTACTGTAGAATGTTCACCATAGAATAATTATGAAATATTGGGTTAATTTTGAAAAAGAAAATCTACATGACCTAGTTACTACAAACTGGGGTATATAACGATGTAAAATTCCAGCAAACTGATTGAAGACAAGCAAAACAACAGCTGTAGCAGTAGGTTAGGTATGCCACAAGAGAGAACAGAGGGGGTTATATGCTGATAACTTTTGGCAGTGGTCAAGGAACTCAATCCCAATTACCTAAGCCACTGGGCTGCCACTCTTGCCCAGGGTAAGAGGTACTGGACATCACAATCTCCTCACTTGAGTCATCATGAGTTGGAAGTTCAACAGGCTCAATGTTTACCTCCCGTCTAGCAAAAGAGGTTTCTGGTGGTTCAAAGGAGTGGGGTGAAACTGCCATGTGGAAGAGGGGCGCCGAGTGTTCAGTCCCGAGCCGTTGGCCTGTAGGAGGGGGTCGTATGCGTATACATGAAGGTGCAGCAGCACCAGGATATGCATAGCCAAGTGGGATCTTTGGCGGAGGCGGAGGCGGCATGTCATGCACAGCGTTAGACAGCTGACTGGGCGCTCGCGGTGCTGGGGGTGAACCGTGCGGGAAACCAGAAGTGTGCAAACTCGCTCGTTGCTGTCCTAGTGGAGTGTTTCCAGTCAAGTTGTTTTCGTTAGTGTGTAGGAATTCGCAGCTTGGAAGCGTCATGCTGCGCATTTGAGGGCGCAAGCTTTGCATTGGTGAATTTGTCCCTGAGGTCCTCGTAGAAGATATCGACGCATGGTTGGAGGAGTGACCAGAAGTAGCACTGACATCTGAACTTGCAATTCTGACTGGGTAACTACTGACTGAGTGCCTCGTCGGGGCAAGTGGATTCTTATTACCCTGGGTGTTGGGTGATGAATGCAACTGCGAGCCCCCTGGAGGTGAATTTATATGTTCATCTAGAGTCAACCCTTCGGTGATGTTAGGTAGCCTAGCATTCAAGGACTGATAAAAGCGTCCAGTTCCAGATGAAGAGGCAGTCTGAGCTTGCATACTACCATTATTCCCTGAGACAGGTGGCACTTCTGGGTGTGTTGAAGGTATCAGAGGTCTTTCGGCGCTTTGTTTCAGCCTGGTAGGTTTCTGAACTGACTTCTAAAAGGCCATTAATATAACAGCAAAGTGAACAGGGAGGTTGGAGAGCTTACAATCCCCATAAGAGGGAACTTCTTACTGCTTCCCAGGTCGCCAGCATAGCCAAATCGTCTGAAAAATTTGAGGCCTCTCTTCCTCATGGTAGTATCATCCTCCTTCGTCTCTCGCTCATCCACGACTTTGATGCCATCAGAAGTATGATGATGGGTTGGTCCTGCTTTAGTATTAAGCCGCGAAAAGTTGTTGCTGATCGACTGCACCACCCCCGTGCTGGTATTCTTTGAAAAGTTTTCATGCTGAGCTATTTGGGATGGCCTTTCTTTGGGTTGACTGCTATGGAGCTTTGACAGAAAGATGGACAATCGAGAGCGGGAGATTGGGGTTACGGAGGGAGGGGAAGCTTGACTTGAGTTGTGCGGCAGGTCGATGCGATGTGAAAACTCAACCCGCCCAGACTGATTTTGGGTCGAGGGCCGAGAGTTATCAGAAGCAGCGACGATGTTAGCCACAGTGCTTTGAGATGCTGACACATGGTTTCCTTGAACTCGTGGGCACATAAGACTCGGCTCGGTACCATCACTCCGCAAACTCATACGTTGAGTGGCTCTGGGCCGTTGATGGGCCGGATGGGTTGTGGGAACAGAGAAATGTCTTAGATGGGAGATTGTAGCCTTGGTCGAAGTTTGGGAGCACGGACGGCCTGAGTTTGTGTCCGGGTGGAGAAGAGGGGCTGTTGCTTTCATAGGACTGGGCTGATGGAGTTCTTTGTTCTTTAGGAATCCAGGGCGAGAGTTGGAGAATTCTCCTTTAGGTCCTTCAGAGACAAGCCTCCGTTCAACTTCGGTGTTGTAGCCCCCTTCCTCTTCAAAAGAAAACTTGCGTGAGATAATTTGCTCCTCGATTCCCAGTGCAACTGTGCCTTCCGGAGGACTCGGACTGGGAGGTTTGCTGACGTCGAAGTTCCGTGATGACCCCGTTTTGCTTGCTTCCTCCTGATCTAGAAACGTTACTTCACTTGCAGGTGGGCCACTGGGAATCAACTCCAACCCATTAGGAGTAAGAACAAGCATCTGCTCGCCGGTAGATATACCCGACGATCTACTGGTTTTACGAGACAAAGAAGCACGCGTAGAACCTCGTGGTTGTTTCGGTAACACTGCTCCAGTCAACGTTGCAGACTCTACTTGAGGTCCTTGAGTGCTTTGATGCTGCGAGCCGTGCGCCTCTGTGCCCT